GCATCGCATCGCATCGCCTGTTAATTCAGTTTTAACAATTTCTGCTCGGGGGCCATAAGAAAAGCGAAATCGAATCATAATTCACTTTGGCAGCGCCAAAACCCGAATTGGCAAAACTTTTAAAGCGCCTCGTGTGAGGGAGCGAGACCCTCATGAATACGCGTCTTGAGCCAAGCCAGCTGACCCTTCAAATGCTTCTTCGCCCATGGGTCGGTCGTCCGCACGTGTTTCGCTCTGCTGATTTATGCGGCTCGACTTTAGTCAAATTTGCGCATCCTTTGCCACGGCCCATGTAAAACAATTTCGTCTCGGCTCGCGCTGATAAAATTGATTTATATGACATTTTATTGGGCATAAAAGAAGCAGATAAAAGTAAACATAAAAGAAGGCCCAAAGTGCTTTTGACGTTTTAACACGAAATTCTTACTACAACATTAGAATTCTTAAAATTTTTCTTTGGCATTTTAACAGCATTTGCAAACAGTTTTTTTTTTTTTTTTACATTTTTTAATTCTTAGTAAAAGTGTTTTAAATGTAAATTAGAAAAAGTCTATATTATGCATAGATGGAGAGGGAAATGAGCTCTTTTATGTGTATAAGGAGTAGAACATTTAAATTAAAAAAAAATGTTTATTTATATCAAGAACAAAACATTTATATTGAAGAAATTTGTTTTTTTCATTTAAAAAAAAGTGTTAAGCTATTTAATTAAGAAAAAAATCTCTATTTGGCATAGATGAAGATGAAGATAAGCTCTTTTTATGTATATAAAAAGTAAAAAGTTTCAATTTAAACAAAATTGTTTGTGTATCAGGAATAGAACATTTAAATTTATTGTTTGTTCTTTTTTTAACATAAAAAAAATACTTTTTAAGCTGAAGCAAATTTCAAATTTTCGTTTAAAGACTTCAAAAAAGAAATCTTCATGTTTCATGAGGTTTATAGACGGAATATAAGCTTTTTATAGCATAGTATAATATATATTCAATATTAAATAAATAAATATAGTAAAGACAAAACAAATACATATATAGATGGAATATAAGGTATTTATAGCATAGTAAAATATTAAATATCAAATAAATAACTATAGTAAAGACAAAAAAAAAAAAAATATATATAGATGAAATAATACCTTATATTATTTGTATATATTTATATATTATTATAGCATAGTAAAATATTATATAAATAAATATGATATAAATACTATAGTAAAGGCTATAAAAAATAACTAAATTGCCTCTAGAACCGATTTCTCATTCCTTTTTTATGCTGAGAGTACACATTTATGTATATGAATATATATTTATAACAAGTTCCTAGCTACATACAAAGACATTACATAAAACTAATATACACTTCCTTACAAAGGACATTACAGAAAACTAATATACCCTTCCTTGCACTTTCTGAAAGAGTATACGAGTATAATTTTATATTATATGCATTCACTCTATCAACTAGGGTAATCCATTACATCAGACTGCAGTCCGAGTCCTTTTTAGAAATATATTTAAGCAGGAATATCCTGTAGCATCCATTGCATT